TACATCTGTTTGCCAATTGGAAACCTAGCGTTCCTAACTTGTTAAACGAACCTTTCAAAGGCTTTATAGTGTACCCTGCCTACTCACTTTGGAAATGTTTTAGGAGTTATAAACACGGGTGTATGGGTAATCATGAGTCACAGTGAAAGTGTACAACCTTCTACAGAGTGTAAAACTGGTATATCAGCCGTGCTCAAAGTCACGAGCGGCCTTGGAACCCTTATGGAATAGATGATCACTATTAATTAATTGTTTATGCTATTCATTATTCATGTTTACATTGATCATGTGTTTTACTTTGGGATTATAACAACTGGATGCTGCTCTTATGCTAAAATTATGACAACTAAAAGCTAAATGCTGTCAAACATATGTCAAGCCTTTTGAGCCTCATGAACCCCATGTTACACTTGTTGAGTACGAGATGTACTTACGCTTGTTTATTTTCATTATTTGGATAAAAATCCTGGATGGGTAACAGATTGCTATGGTAATGGCGACTTCCCTAAGGATTGCTAGTCTTGTGGTTAACCAGTTGACATCCTTGTGCTATGGGCCTTCCACGAGATTGTTATCTTTATATTTCTGCTATATTTATGTGAAGACTGTGATATTATTCGTGATGTAATAAACACTTGTGATGATATTTTCTATAATTTGTCAGCTTATGTGTGTGATTGATCTCTGGGCGCACATAAGATTATGCATCACATTTTATCCTTAAATTTGGGTGTGACACCCAATGTTCTTAAAAGGAAATCCAGACACAGAGTGAGTACCTTAGATCATGCATGGGTTTCAAAATTTTAATTCTAGCACTCACATTATTTTTTCATGAGAGAATTGTTCCATCTTTAAGTCGTCATGACCCTTGATGTCTTGTATCCACATTGGTTACTACTTTTGGCTAGGGAATGTAACACTACCGAAACCGAAGATTTCGTGAGGGAATGGTTTTACGTGAGAGTTAAAACCTACTGCATGAAATTAATCTTTTCACGAGGGTGTTGTAAATCTTGCCATGAAAACTTATTTTCATGAGAGTGCTCCACACACCGCCATGAAAATTAGCTATTTTCATGGGAGTATTTAATGCCCCTCATCAAAATGACTACCACCGCCATGAAATTATCTATTTCCCATCAAGGGAGGCATCCTACCCTCGACATTCTTTGAAGCGATCGGGGACCATCGAGATAGGTGGTCGATGATTTATGGGATGTCTACTAGCGAGACAAAGCTAAATTCCTTCATGAAACGGGGAACAATCGGGTCCCACTTCAACTACCCATTGATGCTCAACGAGGCGCACAGCTTAGCCGAGCGAGGTTAGCATTGGACAGCCTCACCCCATGCAAACGAAAAAACAAACCCGCAAGGGTCCCTGCCTGCTCTAGGCCCACAATAGAGCTAGGGACAAGAGGATATAAGCCACAAAGACCTCGATCTGGTTGGAGCTAAGCCCCCGACCATCTCTCCTTGTATTCTAGTCATCAACCTTAAAAGCCATCTTGGGTTACCCTTGACAAAAGGAGGGCATCTTGCCCTCCGACCACTACGCAGCTATCGGGGACTAGTGGGATAGGTAGTCAAGGATTCAGAGGGGCGCCTCCCACTTGAACTACCTGCTGATGCTAAACATGGTGCACCACTCAACCAACAGAAGCGAGGCGGTGGCCAGCCTCGCCCCACGAGGGGCAATCAAGTCATAAGCTTTTCAAACGATCTAGCTACCCCAATCTAAATGATCAGGTCACAACTCAACCTTGACCCTAGCATGGCATAAGCCAAAGGGATTACTCACACCCGCAACCATGAGCTAGAACTCAGGACCGAGGAAACAAAGCAAAATCTCAAACAAATAGCTCGGGGGCTGACCTGAGCACTTAAGGGCCAAAACGCTCCATAGAAAAAATCTGCTTTATTCAAGACAAATGTTTACAAAACAGGTGCGGCCTCACCATTTACAAGATAAAAACTTCGATGTCATTGCTATGGCAATATCACGAAAGCCTTGGAGGTGCCTCCTACAAGTGCGGAAGATGAGCTAGAATGCGCACCTCGTAAGCCTTCTTGTAGAACCCTGACCTCCAGGATGTGGCATGTATGGGGATGGAGAGGTGTAGAGGCACCATCATCTCGTGCAAGAAATATTGTCATCTCCTCTATGACGGGAAGGATCCGCCGGGATTGTGTGAAGCTTCCTCCACATCTCACGCAGAAGACGAGGCCCACTGAATGGTAACTCACCGAGACCCTCGGACTGCTGATAGACTTCCAAAGCAAACAAAAGTGATTCCGAGTTCACGCCCACTTCACGCACCCGACACTACACCACAACAACGAGATTGGCGATGCACAATCTGATGCTAAAAGTGGATATAGCGACAGACGGTCTGTCGCTAAAAAGTTATGGCGATAGACTTGTGCAGACGGTGTAAGTGCTATTGCTAAAACTCTTTAGCGACAGACACCACTTTTAGTGATAGATCATCTTTTGCTCTGAATATTTATAGCGACAAATAGCCCGCTGTTATTCTTTAGCGACAGATAGGCCGCTGCTAGTCTTTAGCGACAGACAGCCCGCTACTACATATAGTTTTACCGACTGATGATCCACCGAGATAGCTTTAAATGGTTAAAAAATAAAAAATTGATTTGTCAACAATTATTACAAATGTCACACTGAGCTTCGAAAGTTCATTCAACACATACACACCTAGAATTCAACTTCAATAAAGATACATGCATCTTCACAAATTTGACCAAAAGTTTACAGTAGCTCACATAGGTAAGCTCTCCATCACATCCACTTCCTCTAGCTAGAACAGATAATCCATCCTTTTTGTACATGCCACGAACAAAACTAATTATATCTTCACGTCCAGGCTGCCTGTGAAGCACAAAATGGTTTCGAGACTATCTTTTGAACACTGTAAGCCTTTTGATCACTGAAGGAAGCATAAACATGTTGGTAAGCTAATGAAAGAACTAGTGCTAATATTCTGATAGCTAAGGAAATGAACGCTAACTAATTAACTATCTAATGAAAGCTAGTTAACATGTGGGAAAATAAACCCAAGAGCAACACTAATTATATGTTCACAGCCTTCTCTTTTCAGGTTTCCTATTTATTCACTAAAAAGTATGTTGATTCAGCCAAAGGGGAGGTCATCAGATCCATGCAAGAAGAAAGATCCACACAAGAAGAAAGGGGAGGCTTCAAGGGAGTGTTGAGGACATGCAATTACCTCGCAGTATGACAAACTAGCCTCCACTTGGGGTTTATAAAATTTCAGATCCAAGCATCTGTCAGGTTTATAAAATTTCAGTGAATTAAATACAAATGTGTGCATACAGACTGCATATGCAAAAGAACATACCGCTACCAACAAAGAAGCCAATTCAATGCAAAACCGAGACAAGCAACATGAGTTCAAAATAAACAGCTAGTATTAATTAAATGATTATGGAATTAATGGTGGCCGATATGTAACAAAGGTCTATCTTGTAAGGTCTATCTTGTAATTAAATGATTATGCAAAACCGAGACAAGTTTGCTAATTTTCAGTACTAAAAAAATGAAACAGTAAGGTCTGCACCAATCTCAAAATGCTTGCACCTCTAGCGCTACAGCTTCAGCATAATCTCAACATTTGTCATATCCCAAACTATGCAGCCAACAGACATCTAGAGTTCGCATTTATTTTTAGACATACATGTTGGCATCAAAACAGACAAAAGTATAAATGATTGATAGATCAATTGTATAACCACACAGATATAAGTTGGGAAAGGAAATTGAAAACTCAAATCAGAGCTTATAAGTCCTCCGAACCATTAAGCATTTGAACAAATAATCAGCTAACAAGACCAATTATGCACACAGACTCACAAGCATAAAGACTCAGAAAAATACTTGCAATATAATTGTGAGCCTACATGCATGGTGGTGCTCAAAAATCTAAATTGTGAGTTAGCATGTAAGTTTTACTTTAGGTGTAAGGGTGTCATAGTAGTTTTTCTGTGCCTCTTGTGACCTTGCAAGAGCAATTGGAGCACTGATACGATATGAAACTGCACCTATTGGGTACAGATTCAAATCTTCATGTTTTTGTGCAGCGCTCTGTAGAGGTATAAGAGTGTCTGAAAAAGTCAAGCGGATAGACAAATATGTGAACAGTAAATACTGACAGTTTACGGATAAGTAAAAGCAATAACTATTAAGGAGCAGTCTAGTCAGCAGCAGATGCAGGAAACGCTGGCAGATTGTCACATTTTATTTATGCAGCTGTAATCCAGAAAAAAGATATAATTTCTTTAAACTAAAACATGCTCTACCACCGGGTGCTTTTCAGATATGTATAATATAGCTAAGCATTGACAATTCTATTATCAGTCCATATGTAAGAGAGTTATAAACAGTTTTGACTCATGCTGAGTGTGCCACTACTCAAAGTAGTGATTGCATCTTCCACATAGTCCGCCTGGAACACTAGACTTTCAGACTGTAAGATATTATTTTTCACAAAATCAAATAAACAGTTTTGACACATGCTGCAAACTCAGGTTACGTACTAAAATTAAACACATATGCACTAAAAATTTCAGAGGTAGTGACATTGTTTTGAGGCCCAACACTCAAGACAATAGTTGAGCATCGGAAATTTGAGATATCTAAGAAATCAACTGAGCTTACCTTCACTGTTATTGGCTTACTACTTGCCATTCAAGCAGGGTCTTGACTCCTAATAAAGACAGTGGTTCGCTAAAAGTTTGGAGCATCCATTGGAGCTTTATGACGTGCCTCATCAGTATTAAGAGCTTGTGATCTAAATATAAAATATAGTAAGAAAATCCTAGAACAACAAGTAACGAATGTTATATGAGATATTATTATCCAGATCATGACTTTCTAAAAATACAGACTAGTATAATTCAGATCAAGACTTGCTAAAAATTCAGAAGGTCGACAACTTCTTAGTAATGTCTTGGTAGGTTTATAGGTGTGGGTAATCAGGAGCTTCTGAGTTCAGGTCAAGGTCGACAACATTGGCAGCGAAAAACTCCATGCCACCTGCATTGGAAAGCGGAAGCATAACTCAACATTAGCATAAACTGAAAACCATGTAAGGATCGCTCAAACAACATATAGGAAGAGAAAAGTCTCAGCAATGAAGGACAAAGTAACAAAACTCATGTCTGACTCTTGACTCTAGCTGCATAGAGTGACCGAACTGAACTTGACAGAAACAGATAGCAGCCAACTAAAGTTGGTGATCATTACGTTTTCAACAAGAATTTTTTAACAAAAGAACACACAAACTAGCTACTGATTCCAGCCAAAGCTTGAGCCCATTTTTTATATACCATAGCAAATTCCATTCCCGTCTCAGCTGTACAAATACAGTGATAGCAGCTGTATAAATCAGTACTGCACAGCGGTATAATCAGACTGTGAAAATATTGTGAATGTCTACCTCACCCATGCAAACAGTCATGACTCAATCACCAGGGACATAAAGACACTACCGCAAAAAAAAACTAGCTGGACCATCAACTCTCAGCAGAAAATACAAGTGCAATATGGTAATCTGTTATATACATAAATCTTAGCATTTTAGCTAGTCCCTCTGCTTTCTTATGCATGACGTTGGTAAGGTTGGTGAGCTCAAAATTGAATTAATCAACGTCTTATATAGAAAATCGGAAAGCGTAATTTAGTAAAATATATCAGATTGTTCAATAATATACCTGTGGCATAATCATTACAGTTGAACTATCTAGAATTGGCAAATTGGTTAAAGCATGTTTATCTCGGAAATAAGTCATCTGCAGTTACTAGTGAAAATAACAAGGAATAGTTACTTGGTTGTAACAAGGAATAGTTACTAGTGAAAATCCCTTTACTACAGCATGTGTGTGATGAGCAGGTACAACATGTTTAAACTAGCCCAAATTAAATTGTTCACTAACAAGTCAAATTAACAGTTATATTGTAGCCAAAAGAAGACACAAAGCTATTGATTCCCATCTCAGCTGATTCCAGTCAAAGCTTGAGCCCATTTTTTATATACCATCGAAAAATCCATAGCAACTAAAAATCAATAAGCAGCAAGCATATTTAAACTAAAAAGGCATGGTCCTGGTTTCAAGTAGAGACAAGACTAGTGCACAAGCAAATGCTCTCGGCTCTGCTCTCTACAAATGAGTCAAACATTTATTTATGTTGATCATGCTCAGATAAATAGAACAAAAATTAACTATAAGACTTGTATAGGTGTTGGTATAAAATTTTTCTATGGCATGTCTCTGTATATTGCTAGAAGCAAAATTCATGGAAGCAGCAGGCTAGCAGCGTATCAGCTCAGCAGCAAAATTCACTGTAGTTATGTTGGCCAGTCAAGCAACAAAACCTCATGATAGTAAATTGGTCAAAATACATGTAAATCACTGAGGCTGTTACAAGCATATGAGCACATCCACGACCTGATGCTAGTGCAGATGTATATACTTCATGGCATCTATCATCAAGCATTGAACAACAGTGACAAAATTGACCATCTCCACATGAATGATTCATGCTGTTCCAGATTGGGCTAAATAGGTTGTCCGGCTTGAAGGTTAGATATATACCTGCAGCATTGGAAGGCGGAGGCATGGAATCCAGCTGGGAGAAGAAATCAAAACCCATGGCATTGGCATTGTCCTCCTCTGGATCCATGAATCCTGGGACCCCAAACCCACTCGACGATGACGGATCCATGGCTAGGGCGTGGCAGCGGCACACCGGGAGAAGGAGGCAGGGGAGGATCAGGAGCCGCTAGGCATCAGGTGCGGGTTCTGGCATCGAGGTCGCCCTCCTCGTCTTCTCCCCCGCTGGCAAGCTGTGCGAGATGTGGGGCGCGACCTAGCGGCAGCGTGTGCATGTGGTGGTACGGCGAGATGTGGCGGCGTCAGTCGAGGGCTTTTCAGGTGGGCGAGGCGCTGTCGAAGCAGATGGCCGGGCAGCGCTATCGCGGGCTGCAGCGCGGGGAGATCTGAGGGTGGGCCAGGAGCGGGGGGATTTGGGGTGGGTGGCGCGGGATTTGTGAGGAAGAGGGCGCACGGTCGAGCAAGATAAAGAGACCAGCGGCGGATTCGAATCGGAGGGGAGGGGGAGAGAGGGGAACGCGGTGGGAGCAGGCGCTTCTCTAGAATTGGGATTCGAGGGAGGGAAGAATCTAGGGTTTGTCATTGTATCAGTGGAATGGTGGTGGGGTGGGCAAGCTGGGTGTGGGGTCATTTTTTAGTGATAGACAGATCGACACTGTATCTCTTTTTAGCGACAGACGGATTAACGGTAAATACGAATATCTATAGCGACAGACAATCAATCAATAAATGGGGATTTAGCGTCAGATGGTCTATGAGTTATCTTTAGCGACAGATCATCCATCGATAAATATAATTTTTAGCATCCGATGTCTGACGGTGATACGGTGTTGTGGTGTAGTGTCGCGAACTGTTAGAGTTCAGGGAGAAGCAAGGCGTCGCTACCACAGAACCAGCAACCGCACCATCACAAACCCCATTACTCGCAAGCATTCTTCTAGCACCAGATGCTCGGAGATGTGCCACTAACGTCCTTGCGGACGCAATTGGCCCCTAGAAGGCAGCATCCTAACTCTAGTGAGTCAAACACATGAAACGCCTGAAAAGCTTGGCTACATATGGCTCGAAATAGGGGGGTCCGCCCCCATTTATAGGCTCGAGCACAACTATGCGACGCGTGAGCCCCGAGCCACGTGGCACAAAACGGGGTGGGTAGAGACAGAGCCTACGTGCGGCTGAGACCTCGAGGCTCTACAAGGAGCACAGAGCCTATGAGGCTGTGAGCAGACTCGACAACACAACTCAACTCAGTCTTCGTCTTAGGGCTCCTTGCATATGCCATCAGTCAGACCAAGCAGGCAGTAGTCGCATGGAAGCCAAGGATGTCCCAGGCGACCAATGAACCGTAGACTCACACATCGCCCACCAAGGTACCAATGACAAGATAACACATGTTGGCATTTCTTAGCGCAATCACCAAGTGTGGAGGTTTTAAGTCCATACTTGGCAACGGCGCTAGAAATACCTGGTGGTATTTCTTAGCACCATCACTAAGATTGAGTTAACCTTAGCGACGCCGCTAAGAAACACCAACTACAATAGCTCTTAACAATTACAGAAAATATCTAATAGCACATGGATCTATCATTATAGCATTTCACCCAGAAGTATTCAGGGTATCGTTATTTATATTTTCCCAAAGTAGGGAAAGGTGTAAGAGTCTAGCATGAGCATGAACACGATTACATACTTGCATAGTGGACCATAATTCATGACAGGGGAAAAAATGGTATTTTAAGGATAATGGACACACATTTGGGCCAACCTCAAGGATAAAAGAAAAACAAAGAATAAAAGAATGTTCCTACGTGGAGCCAGCATGTTCTAATATAGCCGTGCAAAGAACAATTAATGATCATACAGGTTATATGACTAGAGTTAGAACTAAGTGTGAGATGAATGGGGAGATCTCCGAGCATTGGTCTACCAAATGAGCCGGGGAGACTTTAAGACTCCTACGATACCAGAACAAGGGGATAACAAGGGATGGACAGAAGTGTCACCACCACTGCGCCTACCCCTCAACCGGGGTTACCGTCATATCATATCGAAAGTTCTGTGTGCCCCAGGCACCACGCCTGTGTGTACAAAGAAACTACCCGTATCCCCTTAGGACTCTGACCCTACGGATCGATAAGCAAGAATATGGGAAACCAAAAGGAACGACGAACTATCACCTCAACCCTAGCTCTACTTCTACCGATACAAGTCATATGAATGATTAAGCATGAAGTTGAACATGTTAAGATCACAACACACAAACTATATGCTAGTTCATATATCATGATTATAACAAGACAACTATACCCTAGTTCATATGCACTACTATATAAATGATATGAGAGCAAGACTTTTGGAAGAACTCTTCATAGTATTCATACCAAGATTTCCCTCTTCTTGCAAGGATCCAAGCCCTCCTTGATAGCTTTGCTAGCTCACAATACTACTACAAAAACTAAAAGAGAGTACAAGTGGAGAGGTGAGGTGTGTAGCTCCAAATGGTTGTGTGTTGAATGGTGAGCTCTAGCCTCTTATTTATACTAAGGTGTGGTCGGTTTGGTGTAGATAAAATAGGAAACCACCGTGGACCGACGTAGCATAGTGACATGCAACTACCTGAGGGAGCTTGGCCTAGGTGGCAGCAGTAGGGGTGTGGCCATAGCCCTAGTGCACCTGCACCTAGGTGGGGCCGCCTCATGACTGTCTTCGCGTGGTCGGTTCCTGGGTGGGCCTGGACCCCTTCGACATCGGTGCTCAGCCCAGAATTGTCAGTTGGATGGACCTTTGCTTGGTTCCTTTGTGCTTTTTCTGCTTTATGCTTTCTCTCTTGCACCTTTTGTTTTGTTTTCCATTTGTATTCAAATGTGTGTCCTGCAAAACATGTTTTCTCCAATTCAAATGGGACTATGTCAAAGTAAAAGCATATGTGTATAAGTTTGCTTAATTTCTACCGAGGTAAGTTGTGTAGTGTCACACCCAATTTTAAGGATAAAATTGAATGCACAAAACTCGTGTGTGCCCAGGAATCAATCACACACACAAGCTGACAAATTACATAAAGTATCATCACGGTGTCTCATACATCAGAGTTATAATAAAACTTAGTCTTATACATCACAAATGGAATAATAAAAAGATAATAAAACTCTCGTGGCCGTCATCACGGGAAGGTCAATCGATTGACCACAAGCCTAATAATCCTCTGGGAAATCCTCATACCCGTTGTCATCTGTTACCCATCAGGATTTTTATCCAAGTAAAGAAAATAAACAAGTGTAAGTACATTCCGTACTTAGCAAGCTAACATGGGGTTATGAAGCTCAAAAGGATAGACTACGGTTTCTCTGCGGTTAGCATTTTTAATAGGTCAAGCTTTTATTCTCAAGTATTATCAAGTTATGCTTAAGCTCCCATTTAATTCCCATAAGAACATATATCGAGTCATGTGTACCATATATCATCATTAAACAACTTTATAAGATCATCATCAAGTATCCGATTATTACAGTGAGTTTTCCGGGCCACTTTCATGGCAAGTGAGCACGACATTATTATAACAGCTGTTACCCTCTGCGGAGGTGGTGCACATTCACCACGAGTCATGATCCCCATATGCTGGGTTAATTACTCTCATGTCACTACCAAGGTGAGCGGGCAGGGTACACTATGAAGCCATTTCATAGGTTTCCCTAACAAGTTAGGGCCGCTAGGTTTCCTTGGCAGGCAGATGTAGGGACTCCCCTTTCCTATGGCACAAATCCATCACGACTATACACATAGGAACAGAGGCAGCCCTATACCCAAAGTGGCAAGCCCCATTTGCGCCAAAAAGGTAACCTCTAACCAGCTAGGAAAGGTCCTATTACTGAGCTAAAGCCAGAGCCATATGACTCTCCCGGTTGCACTGTCAGTCCCAGCTTTTGCCGACAGATAAGTCCTTATGGAGGGCCGGGAGCAACATGAACAAAGGTCATTTGCACTTTCGCCCTATGGAACAGTTGTTATAAATCATGTTACTCACTTTGTTCCATAATATCATTCATCAACATGTATGTCAAGTTCAGTTAGAGCACTAGCAATCTACCCACATGCATTTAACCCATAGGAGACAAGGAACAGGATAAACAATAACTAGGATGTCCTTACGGGTATCAAAATTAGACACATGCAAATGAGTAATTGATTAAAGTGAAGTAGGACATCAAGGAAGGCCCATGCTATACTTGCCTTGGTTCACAAACTCGTGCTGGTCCTGCTGGTCGTCGAAGAGTTCTTGGTCTCCCACGTTTTCCTCACCGTCTGAACGCGATCAACACAGCAACATACAACATTCCAAAAGCATTCATGCAAAGCAAACATTCCTATCATTAGAACAGTACACCAACAGTATTGAAATCAAGATAAAATGTTTGTAAAACTAATCTATGTCTCGCTACGATCACGTCAACGCGAAGTTCACGAAAAACGGAGCTAAAATGCGAAAGTTATGATTTAAACGGGTTTTCCTATAGCCATATATTTAATTAAATCTAATCATGAAATTAAAAAGTTCCAAACTTGACTAACAGTAGCTCCAACATGTAGCTTATGAAATTACTAAGCTAACGCGATTTGAATGGATCAATTCGAGACTAAAACGACAATTTTATAAGCAAAAGCAGTTCAAATGGCATTTCGTAATTACTTTGAAAACGTATTTTGACTTAAGCCGTGGAGTTTACGCTTTCCAAACGGGATTGCGCGTTCGGGAAATACGCTTTGGGCTTCGGGTTAGGACTTAGAAAAGTCTAGGGACTCTTTAGCAAAATTACCCGCGAAGGGATATCTTCTAATCTTGGCCATTGATCTCGCGATGGATACTGACCACGATTTCCCTGGTGAGTTGGTCCTTGATTCCTCTGCTAGAAACCTTGCTGGGGATAAGCACGTGGGCGAGTGTTGCTTCCAGAAGCTTGCCCTTGGAGCCTTCTCTTCTTAGCTTCCATCTCCTTGCGCTTATCATCAATCACGATTACGCGATTCACCAAAGACCGGAAGTTAGGATAAGTATTAGACATCACCGGGCTGCGATCCATCATAGAGTCCCTTGAGGAAGCGGCGTTGCTTATCCTT